AAAAATAAGTTGAGGAGAACATGACCTTATATTATTGGAACATTTCAGTATAATATGACATAACCTTAATAAAAAAAACGTACTATGCACAACTTTTTAAGTTTTTTATTTTAATTTTATTCCTTGAATTCCTTAATTATTTAAGCAGTAGAAAGATAGTCTTTCGAAAGACTCATCATGAATAAAAACTAAGAAAAAAAGCAAACCAAAAGCAAAAGTAACAAAGTAGAGGACTTTCTTTTCTTCAATTCAACTTGTCTCATTGGTTCTAATCTAATTTGATCTAATCATTGCAAGTCTAATATAAAATACACTCTTTAAATTTACCAAAAGTTAAAATGAAAGTTATTTTTCAAATATTATTTAAAATAGTTAAATGTATAAAATTTTGATATTTCAGAAATATATTATAACCATGAATTAAATATAGTTTAAAATAGTTAAATATTATAAATTTTTGATATTTCAATACTATACTTTACTAAATTTATATTATAACCAAATATATTTTTTCCATAATTTATGATCAAAAGAAAACACAGTTTAACAAAAAAATCAAATTATGACATTCTTATAAGAAGAGAGGGAATATTTTTTGTATTTACATGATTCCATTTTTTTGGATCAAATTAAATGTCAATATGATAATTTGTTTTTGTGTGGGTGACTCAGTGCACGATCTCATCATGATGATGGAGTTCCAAAATCAAGTCCTTAATCATCGTTTGAAGGTCAAATTAAAGATTAGTCAAAATGATGGTTTAGTTAACGACTTAATGTCTCATGGTCTTAAGTTTAGAGGGCAGTAATTGATTGGCATGTGTTTCTTTTCATTTTATTGTTCCAAAATCAAGTCCTTAATCAAAGCCGGCCCCGAAAAATGAAAAAATAAAATTGGCCTGGTCCAAAATTTACATTTTGTGCCTTATTTTATTTTTTAGAATAATTTTGCTTTAAAATTATTAACAAATTTAAAAATATGGTGCCCTAAATTTTAAGGAGCCCTGTACGGTTGGCCACTTTGTACACCCTCCGGGCCACCCATGTCCTTAATCATCGTTTCAAGCTTTATTTATTTTCCCTTCTATTTTATGCCATTAAATTTTCTGCATCACGACTTAAACACCTGCAGGCGGAACATTTATGCCATTATATATTTTAAAAAATAATTTATATCTCATCACAAAATAATATTTAAAAAAAAAATTGATGGCGGAACGAACTGGCCATCGGAATCATGTATATACAAGAATACTACCTTTGTCCCTATAAAATTGACACGGTCTAAGTTTTTTGATCAGGCACCCTTTGACCATAAATTATGAGAAAAATATACTTAGTTATAATGTGAATTTTGTAAAATCGGGTTTATTTTAAAAATATAGTCTTGAAATATCAAAATTTTATAATAGTTAATTATTTAAACTGTATTTAATTCATGGTCAAAGAGTGTCACAACTTGACGGAAAAAAAAATCAAACTATATTTACTTATTTCATCCAGAATTATACGAAGTGGTGCTTGTTCACAATTCACACGATCAAGTTTTATTCATTTCTTTAATTATTTTTGTTACTTATCTTATTTTAAAAAAATAGTATAGTCAGATCACATTTTTTAATGCCATTTTTAAGTACATATATTTTTTAATTTCATCTTATTCTTAAAAAATATTATGAAATATTAAATTTAAAATAATTATAATGAAATAGCATAACTTGGATGAGAGACAATATCCAATTCACTACCTTCGAAGTTACTTCTAGGGGGCGATACCGAGTGAGTAAGCTAAGTTAACGTACGGAATAATAAATAAATAAAACGAGTACAACCAATTAATTTCTACCCGTGTGTTATTTAAATAAAGAAAAAAGAGCAGAAATTATTATTATTATTATTATCTAATTCCATTAAATTGATGTAACCCCCACCCCCACCCCCACACGCTTTCTTTTTTAAAAAAGTACAAATATTATTCTGTATAATACCGTTAAGTGTTACAATTATTTGGCAACGAATAAAATATATTGAAACAAATGATCATGAGAAATTTATCTAAATATGACTAAAATATAATAACTTTATCAATATAGGACCATATGTTTTTATTTACCAATATATAGTAGGGGTCATTATTCAAGTAAATAAAATATACTCCGTATGATTCTAAATTGATAAAGTCATTATTGATAAATATACTATTTATAAAATAAAAATGTTTAAGTCCTACATTGGAAATGATTTATGTTTTAGTCTTATTCGGTGCAAATTTTACAATGATCATATTACCAAAAATGTTAAGTTGATTAATTTCTAATTTAATTAATTAATTCCAACAAAAAAATGAGACATGTTGAAACTTAGAGCTATAAACTTAAATAGGTTTGAAAAATGACAATAATGTTGTGATCAATAAATCAAAGTGGAATGATGGTGGAAGTGGTGATTTTTTTTATACTCCATAATCGCATATAAAACAATTTTATATACTACTAGGTGTCTTAGTGGATTGTATGTATGTATGTACGTACGTACGTATGTGTGTGTGCGCGCGTGTATATATATATATATATATATATATATATATATATAGTGTATGTATATTGTGTTGCTTGTTAGAATAGTTTTGAGAAAATATTGTGTATGTATTTGACCAAAATTTCAAAGTTTACTTTATAATTAAAAAAAATAATTAGTGACATTGTTAAACTTTAACATTTTTAAAATTAATCAATATTGTCAAAAATTTATTCATAATATTAATGGTAATTGAAAATATTGTTCCCAGAAACGTCTGACTCTAAATATTTTTCACCAAATGTTGCTTAAATTATTAATTAAAAATAATTTAGTCATGAAAAAACTCATTTTTTAATTTGATCGATCCCAATCTATCTATCATTATATATGACGTGATTAAATATCTTATTCATTGCAAAATACTCCCTTGTCCCATAATAATGACTAATGCAATACTTTCGTATAAATATGTTTGAATAAAGTTATTTTCAATTATATAGAGATTTGTATAAATTTAATAAATAAAATTTCTATATGTAAAATTTATATAAAAAATTATAATCAGGGTATGAAACAAATAATGCCAATACTATTTTATTTTATTAAACCATCAATGAAAATGAAAATAAATAAAGATTACAACGGCAAGATTCTCTTGACACTAGTATTTAGTGTCAACGAATGACACTCGCTCGTTCGGAGCTCCTCTAATACTTCATTCGCAAAATTGATGATTCATATAGCTCCTAACCCGCCCCCCTTTTAAAACCCCACCGCACCTCCACCCCAACCCGACTCCTGCGTCCCAACTCTAGACCCCCCCCCTCCTCATTCTCCCTTGAAATGTGTGGCTTTTATGCAATGGAAATAGTCACACATTTCGAGGAGGTAAGATGGTGGTCTAGGTTGGGGCATAGAGTTCGGGCTGAAAATCCTGGAATGGGATGCGGTAGCTAGGGTGTTTAGAGTGGGAGTTTGGAGATTAGGAACTATCAATTTTTCATTTAGAGTTTCGGGGGAAATGAACGAGTGTGATCTGTTTATATTAGATACAAGTATTTTTTGAAAGGACATAAGATACTAGTATTAGTTTAATTTTTTATAAATAGTATAGTAGATAATTATTATAGGAGGGAGGGAGTAAGTGAAAAAGGAGAAAATGTACCAGAGGAATTGAATGAGGTCTATAGAGCCCAGATATTCTTTCAACAAAAAAGAGAAAGAAATGTTTTAATTTAGAACAATTTACAAATGAGACTTTGAGTACACTCTTTATGGGAATTTTTAAGTGATTCCATTCCAAGGACCTTTTGGAAGCTAAGCTTTTCAAGGCGTATATATTTATCTCAAAGTACCATAGAATTCTCCTTTCTCCAAAAATTGCTACAATAACTGCGCAGTACATTAGAAAGAAAGCAAATAGAACTTTTAAAATCTCATATTCTCATTGGCTAACAGCTTACACAGGTGAGTTCTTTTCTTTTAATGTGGTTCAGTCTAAATATTTAATGACAAAATCAAGTGACTTTTATTCTATCCAAAACTCTATTAGCGTATCAGAGCATGTATTGGCTCACATTGATTGTTAATGTATCCGTCTAGATGTTCTTTTCTCGCGGTCCAAGTAAGTCTTTAGTCTAGTTGTGCGTATGAATTGAAGTACGTAACCAACGATCGGTGACCCATTTTACCCGATTGTTTGTCAGGAAGTTGATACCAAGCGACTCAGAGTCCTTCAAGTGTTGTCGATGCATTTTTAAACATTTGTATCAAGGGGAAGGGAGACCATTTTCAAGTGGTTAACCATTTAGATTCAGAATGACCCGATTGTTCATTTAAGAAAAAATGTATCCCACATCGAACGTTGAAGTAAAAATCAATTTATATATAACTTTTTGAGTTGAACTAAATAATCGATTACGTTTAATCTTTTAATGTAGATCAGGCTAAATGTCTTATGACCCAATCTAGTGATTCTTACCCATCCAAAGTTATCATAATCCCAATCCAACATCCCTTTGAAAATTTTAAGTCCTCCCTTTGAAAATTGTGAAATTTGCACTAAATAGGACTAAAACATAATGACTTTCTTAATGTAGGACTTAAACTTTTTTATTCTCTAAATATGATTTAATAATGACCTCGTGGAAGAAATAATGTCCAATAATGATGAACATTTACTTGAATAATGACTACTTCATAATGACCAAAGGTCCTACATTGGGAAATAAAAACATATGATTCTATATTGGGAAAGTCATTATGTTTTAGTCCTACTCAGGTAAATTTCTCTTGAAAATTTCACCCTACAAAACACTTAGAATAATATGCATAAGGCCTCGTTTGACATCAGCATTAGAGATTAGCGTTAGCGTTTTGAAAATGTTATTCGACAGTAGCCTTTAACGTTAGTGTTTTCAGAATTAATCTACACCAACACTAATCGAAAAAACTGTTCCCAGACAGGCTTAACTCAAGTACTAAAATAGCACCAAAAATTCAAAATGGAAGGAAGAAGCAAAAAGGGGCCTAGGGGGGGAACAGGTTTTCTTGCGCCCAGAAGTCCCTGGCCTTAGGGGTTCTCTTTCCTCCCAACATCTTTCTTGATTTTTGACCCCCATAGCCAAACCCCCCCACCTTCTTCTCTTCTTCCTCCTCCGTACACCAAACCTTCCTCCTCCCTAGATCTCTCTCCTCATAATTGTCCCTCGCATTTTCTTCTCTGATCTGTATATATTCATTTCCCCCATCTCCCCCCTTTTTCCTTCTCCCTGCATGTATCCGCGTATCGCCACCAGCAGTTTCCTGAGCCTTTCTGGAGTTACTGCGAGGACAGATCCTTGGATTTACTCGTATTCCGAGGAATGGGTAGCTGCGTTTCAACTTCGAAAGTCAGCGGTTCTAACAGCAGCCGCGCAACTTCTTCCGGCACCGCCGCCGTGAACATCCGCAAGGCTGCAGCCACAAATCCGCCGCATTGTTCTGCACACAAGGCCGGAAAGGAAGGGCGCGAGGGGAATCAGCAGAATCCCAGGAAGAGTGGGGTTGTTGCTTATGGGAAAAGAACAGATTTTGGGTATGACAAGAATTTTGATGAAAGGTACAGTCTTGGTAAGCTATTGGGACATGGCCAATTCGGGTACACCTATGTTGCCACTGACAAGTCCAGCGGAGATCGTGTTGCTGTTAAGAGGATTGATAAGAACAAGGTCCTCTTTTTGTTCCCTGTCCTCTTATATTATTTGCTTTTATTTGATTTGATCTGACCTTATTTTTTTTAATCATATTGGAGCATATTCTTGACAGAGCAGTGTTAATTTGTTGTTAAATCTTTTGAGCTGTGAATTACAGCTGTAGAAAATGCTCTCTACTTGATTACTGCTTTGATTGTTGGGATAAAGTTTAGATTTTTTCCCCTTTCTGTTGTTTTTGTTACGCAATTGCATTTTTTTTAATGTTAATTGCATCTGTTTGAACTATGATGCTTAATGACATGTGTTTTTGAGTTAGATTGCGCCTTCTCTTTTAATAAAAAAAAATTGGTGGAACTTATTCTAACAAATCCAGAGAGTCATGACAGATGCTTCTTCCCGTAGCTGTAGAGGATGTCAGACGCGAAGTCAGAATATTGAAGGCCTTGGCTGGTCATGAAAATGTGGTTCAATTTCATAATGCATTTGAGGATGAGAATCATGTATATATTGTAATGGAGTAAGTCTCTTTGCTTACAATTTACTCTACTTAGTTACAAGTGTTTGATTAAATTATTTAAAAATAATCTTGTTTTCTTTTAGGTTATGTGAAGGCGGAGAATTACTGGACCGAATTTTGGCCAAGTAAGTTCCCCCCCCCCTCAACACTCACTTTGGTTGCAGTGTGTGTTCTTCTCTTATATGAATTCCTGATTAAAATGTATAATCCATATAGGACTTACAAATAGTTTCCTGTAATTAGAAAAGACAGCCGTTATACGGAAAAGGATGCAGCAATTGTAGTGAGGCAGATGCTCAAAGTTGCAGCAGAATGTCATTTACACGGTTTGGTGCACCGTGATATGAAACCCGAGGTATCATCCATTCATACCTTCATAGGGATCAGTTTGGATGGAGGGTTTTGGAAATTTCTTGATGAATAGAATCTTTAACAAACAAAATCTCATAATTTTTATCAAGATAGAGACTTAGCCCTCCAAAACCCTGCATCCAAACCGATACTAAGGCTCTGTTTGGATGGAGAATAAGTGTGAGAATAAGTGTGAATGGTAAATAGTAAATAAGACTATAAGAGTAAGCAAAGAAACCTTGTTTGGAAGTGTACATCTTACTCTCCCTTATATGTTATTATTGTTATACCCCAATAGGGTAAGGAAAAGTACTCACTATTACTTTCTCTCTTTAGTCTTTACCCCTCCTAACACAATCCAAACTGAGCCTAATTGGGGTCTTTCTTTATATTCTGCTTCCTTCACACACTTTTCTTTAATGTAGAATTTTCTTTTCAAATCACCAAAAGCGGATTCTCCGTTGAAAGCCACCGACTTTGGTCTTTCAGATTTCATACGACCAGGTATTTCGATGTCGAAGTGATTGGTCTTTCTCTCTCGTATTTATAGTTAAATATTATAGTGTAATTCAAAACAACCAAAACTATGTTCTTTTGGTAAAAAAAATCATCATCGATGCAGGGAAGAAGTTCAAAGATATTGTTGGTAGTGCATATTATGTTGCCCCAGAAGTATTGAAGCGTAGATCTGGCCCTGAATCAGATGTTTGGAGCATCGGCGTAATAACCTATATTTTGCTCTGTGGCCGGCGGCCCTTTTGGGACAAGACTGAAGATGGCATATTCAAAGAGGTATAGGATTTGTTCTTTTATTTCAAATGCAATGCTATATTCAAAGATGGCGTGTTCCCCCTTGTGTATATGTGTGCATGTTCTAATTTGCTACTTTTGTTTTATGCTTAGGTCCTTAGAAATAAGCCCGATTTTCGACGCAAGCCATGGCCAAGCATAAGCAACAGTGGTAAAGATTTTGTTAAGAAATTATTGGTGAAAGATCCTCGTATCAGACTCACTGCTGCTCAGGCCCTTTGTAAGTACTATGTTACTGAATATTTTCTTCTTTTTTTCTCTCTTTTAAGGGTATGTTTGGATCCACATATAAAGCTAGGGAAACAAAATAGGGAGGAAACTTTGAGGTATGAAAATGGATTACTTCATACTTACATATTCAAAACATTTGCAGCACATCCATGGGTCCGAGAAGGTGGGAATGCATCTGACATACCTTTAGACATTTCAGTACTGTCGAACATGCGCGACTTTGTCAAGTATGGTCATCTAAAGCAGTTCGCGTTAAGGGTAATCTTCATATCTTTCTGGGGAAATCACAATCGTAGTTCCTGAATCGTGTGATATTATGCAATCTGAGACGTACTTCCTGTCCCTAAAAGAATCTTTCATCTTTTTTTCGTAAATCTAGTCCCTCAATTGTTTAAATTTCAATACAATTAGTCCATCCTATTGAAATCTTGTGCATATTTGGAACCATTATATGGGATAGAGGGGGTACTAAATAGTGATCATAATGTGAGAGACAAGTATAAGTATAACTGAGGGAGTTAATTTATAAAATCTGAAAGACAAGTGCTGTACATTACATATTGTCAAACAAGCGAGGGACTCAAAGTGCAATTTTTGAGTCTTTTACTTCTTTTTGCACTTTTTTTTTGTTTCTTTTGTTGTTTTTCTTTTTCTATTTACAGAATGTCTGATCATATTGCAGGCATTAGCGGGTACACTTCACGAGGAGGAGTTGGCTGACCTCAAAGATCAATTTTCTGCCATTGATGTTGATAAAAATGGCGTAATTACTCTTGAAGAAATGAGACAGGTATGTTTCCTCATTAGGAAAATGCTAAAGTCACCCCAACCTTCTCACAAACATTGAACAATAATGGGTGTCTGTGAGAAGGTGCGGGTGCCCCTAGCATGGTCCTCCCTCATTATATCATGCAATGCCTTGTTAACGCCGTGTTTATGATGCTTGTTTATATTAATTCAATTTTGAATTCCACTTTTGGTCCGACGACTATAAAGTCATTTCCACCTTTTGAGGTTTGTTGCACAATTATGGATTTCTTGCTACTCTAGCTTCCTTCCCAAACATATTTATGTTGATTTTTTCTAGATAAGTGCCCGGAAAGGACCAAAAACTGCAAAGAAAAAGAAAAGATTTTTGTGCGCCAAAGTGAAAAAAATATGAAAGTTGGGGACTACAAGTGGGAATGAGCTAGTAGTTGGTCCAAAAGTGGGAAAAAATCTTCTTTTTTGGTGGGGATGAAAGTCATGAAACATCATTTGTTTTATTGCAGGCTCTCGCTAAGGATCTTCCTTGGAAGATGAAAGAGTCACGTGTTCTTGAGATTCTTCAAGCGGTACCTTCTTTTTTTTTAAATTATGATTTATTTATTGAGTCTGGTTCTTTCGACACCAAGGACCACACCAGTCCATTTTATGCTTCTTATGGTGATCCGTTTGACACCAAGGACAGAAGTGGTTCCTACTCCCTAAGCTCCCACAAATCCTAACCCTTCTAGCCCTCTTTGGCAATGAATTGTCACCCATAGGGGGTCTTGGGGGGGGGGGGTGTGGACTNGGAGGGTTTACGTGTGGGTAGGAACGACCCCAAGGTGGGCCCATTGGGTGTCAAAATAACCCGTGATTATTTAAATTAAAGAACTTTCATTTTGACTTTTCACATAGTTTATTAATGATTCAATTTTATTGGTGGTGATAGATCGACAGCAACACGGACGGGCTTGTGGATTTCCAGGAGTTTGTTGCAGCGACTTTACACGTGAATCAGATGGAAGAACACAACTCAGAAAAGTGGGAGCAGAGATCACAAGCTGCTTTTCAGAAATTTGACATTGACGGAGATGGATATATTACTTCAGATGAACTTAAAATGGTCAGCCTATTCTTTTCTTGTTTTTTTTTCTTAGCACTCCAACTCTAATCCACTATATAGATATTAGATCGTAAACAATATGAAAATATGAAGTGGTATTTATATAAATAGCATTTTGGGTTGAATGGTGTGTAAAGTCTTTGAGCTTGGACAATGTAAAAGATTAGTAAATAGACGCACTTTAACCATCAATGACATTAAATTTGCATTGCATATTAATATAATACGGAGTAATATATTTTCTGAAAGTCTTCTGTAAAATAAATCTAATGAAATAATTTCTCGACTAATATGCAATATAATTTTTATTTAATTGATGATAAAAAATTGTCCAGAGGAATATTCTCAGACAAAGGTGGTATCTTTTATGTCATACCACTTCTTCCCATCAAAATTTGCACTATGGTCGAATCATTTCCATCCCTTTTTCTTTCCTTAGTATTTTTTTCAGGTTCCAAACGGACCCTAAGGGTACGTTTGAATCATTAAAAAAAATACTAGGAAAAGGAAAAGTAATAAACAGGAGAAGTTTAAGATGACTTTGATTTAGTCCATTATCCGCATGCTTGAATAATAATTTTAGAAAAAATATGGTTACTATTTACAGTAATTTTTATTTTCATATGCTTGAATTTCTTTCTTTACGGAGTACAGATAATTAAAATGGCATGAAAATATATTACTCAGCAGTAAATAAAATGACATGAATAAATAAAAAAAATGACTTTGATTTGTTGCAGCACACTGGATTAAGAGGCTCCATAGACCCACTCTTGGAAGAAGCAGACATTGACAAAGACGGGAGGATAAGCTTGTTGGAGTTCCGCAAGCTTTTAAGGACCGCTAGTCTGGGCTCTCGGAACGTCGCGAGCCCATCTTCAAGGCCAGGCCCACGACACTAATAAGGCTGCGTTTGGACGAGGAGTAAGTTTGAAAAGGTAAGAGCAAACAAGAGTAAGCAAAAGGGACCTTGTTTGGAAGTGTACATGTCACTCTTTTTTCTCTTTTACTCCTCCCGACACTCAATCCAAACGGGGTCTTAAACCGAATAGAAGAAGCGTGTGTTTGCCATTGAAGAAGATACAAAGATGCCAAAAAAAAAAAGAAGGCTCTAAAGTTAGTTGGGTTTGAAAGAAAAAGAGAAAAAAACATCATATATCCATTGGGAGTGTTTTGTGTGTATGTTAGTGGGAGATGTGGGCAATCATGTCATTTTGTTGTTCAACATTGTGTGTATCTTTCAAAGTTGAATAATGATTCAATAAATAATTAAACATTTATTGGGTACTTTTCCATTCAATAATTACAAGAGGTATGAGAAATAAGTGAATTATACACTTTTTTTTTGTCACAGACCTAAGATTGCACATAATCTAAGATTTGTTTACTCCTGTTTGAAATGAGGTTTTCGAGTTTTTAGGTCTCATTTTCAAAGTGTGAGTCTGATATAGAATCACACAAGGGTATGTTTGGAAATAATTTTAGCGTTCTGGAAAAGTTTATCTAATGGCAGTATTTGGCTGTAATAATTTTAAAGTTAATCTACACTTTAAAATGTTTATTTAAAATGCTAACGCTAATTAAAAAGGTTGCTTACAAAGCCTAAGTGTTGAGGTATCTAAAGAAATTTATGAAATGCAACTTCATGGAAATATGGCATTTATTCCATCAATTTAATTTTTATTTTTATAAAACTAAAAGAACACATGCTTGGAAGTGTGAAATTTTGTTATTAAAACTTGAGTAAAATATAAGAGAAAATTGTTTAAGATAAGACTAAATTATTGTTAGTTTACATGAATGAGACTAATTTTTGTTTTTACATGGATGGGGTCTAAAAGGTCCTATTCTTGTGCATCACAATGTGTTCTTGACATTTTTGCCCCTGTGCTCTATTTTCTTCGTCTTCTTCTCTCTATTTTCTTTCTCTTTTGTTTTCTTCTTTTTCTCTAATTTCTTTTTTATAAGTCGTAGTTATTTAATATATGATCCTTCAAAAAGATGAAAGAGGATAGATTTCATTCAATCTAAGACCATTCAATTAGGAACCTTAATTGCAAAAAAAAACTGTCCAACACATTTTTCAAAGCTTGAGGTAAAAAAATGTTCAAAAATTTCCTAGTAGTGTGCAAACCCTGATAAGCCTTTGGACTGATAAAGTTCCACCCTACTCCTAGCTTCTTGCAACAATGTCTCCACCTTCTCATCTTGAACCAAGAAGCCCTGCTGCTTTGCCACCCACTCAAGAACCATTAGAACTTCTGCCTTGGCAAGCTCTTCGCAGTCCGGGACGTGCTTGGCGATGTAGCAGAGCAGCGCCAATGCAGGTCCCCGGACTGCGGGCCCGCCAAAGTAGACGAGCTGGACCAGGTGTTTGGCCCCGCCGGACGCTATGATCGCCTTGGAGTGATCCATGTGAAGGTAGTTCTCCGTGCACGCAAACTTCACGAGGGAAACCGCGGCATGGTTGGACACCTCGGTTTCTTGGTCTTCTAGAAGCCTCACTAGGGGGCTTATCATCCTCGTCTCGGTCGACCGGAACGTCCTCGCGAGGTTCCCGATCGTCCTGACGCAAGGCACGAGGAGGTTCGGGACGGGTTCCTCGATGATCCTCAGCATCTGGTCGACGACCGCCTTGCATGCTGGAGAGCTAGGCTTGAACGCCGACCTTCTCAGGTCGGCGTCCTTCTCTGCCACGGCTGTGATCTCCATCACAGCCATGGCAGAGTTGTACCGGACGTCGTCGGGCCCTTTCTCCAAAAGGGCCGCGAAGCATAGCATGGCTCTAGACTCCGTTATGCTATGGCAAATTTGGGGGTTGTCTTTGCATAGGTGCCACAATGCTCTTGCGGCCATTGCCTTCATATACGCCTTCGTTGCCGGATCTTCAAGCTCCCTGGCATGACTGTAATGGTGATGACTGCTGAAATGGACTTTCTTAGCCGTGTTTCTCATTGCCAATGTATTCATGACGACATTATGGTTCTGGGTTTGTTTCCTGTTGTTCTCCATGGGATGAGCAATTCTACTCTTATGGTCTTCGTCGCCATTGTCGTTGATCCGGGCATTGTTTTTGTTGAGAGAATTCTCATTGCTGGCTAAAACCAGAGCGTGAATGGAAGTCGCCTTGCTGGGAATGGCATACTTGCTGTGATTCAAGACGGTGTCGAATGCGATATGGCCAACCAGTAAGCGGACAATATTGTTCTGGGCAAAGAGATCTTGGCATTTGGGGAAATGGGAAGCCAGTTCTGATATAGCCCAGGCTAAAACGGCTTGAACTTTCATCGGCCCTTCTTGGAGCATTTTATCAAACACCTGGCAGACGCCGGCGTGAACCATGTGCTCGACGATGGCCGGATCTCGTCCCAGCAGCCCGATTGCTCGAGCGGCGTTCTCCTGACCTTCTACTTTGCCTTCCTTCAGGAGCTTCAGGAGCGGGCCCACTCCGCCTTCCTCGACGATCAGCTTCCCGTAACGGTCGTTGTCGCGAGCGAGGGAGACCAGCGACGCCGCGGCGTCGGACTTGTCGTCGGCCGAGCCGGTGTGGAGAATCGCGATCTGCTCCCATATGAGGCAGAGGATCGGCTCGTTGGCGGCGATTGGCGGGAGTCCGAGGTGCTCGCCGACGCGCTCGTCGGCGGAGGCGGAGACGCGGAGGAGCCACGAAACGTCGCCGATCGAGTTGTCCAGCTGCGACTGCATCTTCCGGAAGGAGGCGGCGGAGATGATGGTGAAGACGCGCTTGACGACGCCGTGGGTGCGGCACTTGAGGACTATGGCCAGAGCCTTCTCCAGGACCTGGCCGGTGTCGTCGACGATCCGGCGCGTCGGCCGCTCGTAGAGATCGCTGCTGGTCCGCGCGGCCTGGCGGAGAAGCGCCGCGAGCTTCTCCGTCCTGGACTTCAGCTCGGCGCAATCCTGCTTGAACGAGCACGCCTCCTCCGCGGCCTTGCTCACCTGGTCCGCCAACTTGATCGGCTTTGCCAGAATCTGCTTCACTTTATCCGCCATTAACAGACCTCAACAGCAAAAAAACCCCAAAATTAACTCCGATGAGTTGAATTTATTTGCACAGAGTTCATAATAATAATGGAAGGTTCTGGCAACATTAATGGGGGCAAACTTTAACGGCGTGTTTGGAAAAATGTCAATTTATTTGGTGATACCTAATACACGGAAGGCTACAGTGCGAAAAATGTCAATTTATTTTTTTCAGAGTGGTTTTGAATTTTTGATGACGTGTGTTATTGTGTGATACTCAATCTACACCTTTGAATTTCTACTTCACTAGTTGGTGTTTGTATATTGACATTTGTTTATTCAGTAAGAACTGTGGTAATTTACTCTATGTTTTGCTTCTTTTAATTTATTACTCCCTTTGTCCATGATCTTCCCATTATGCGTTACGAGCCTTGATCGACTTTATTTTCAATTCAATTTAATTGATTATAGGAGTAAAATTTTAAAATAAAATTTATATAGTAATAAACTACATGAAAAGTTCTACAAAACTAGAGGTGACAAGACTATATTATTTTATGAATTGACTAATAAAATTGAGCAAACAAAGTGAGTAAAGTTTGACCCTGTGAATAATGTCTGAGAAGATCTATGGTGGACAGAGGGAGTATATTTTATTTTTTATGTATTTGATCTTTTTAAATTTGAAATCAGTACCTTTTAATGATCTCTTAAAAGCTCTCACTAATATAATAGCACTAGAATTCTTATGACATTGAAATCTCATATCATGAGATGTCTGGAACCATTACGGTGTTTAATTCATAAAATTGATTGTTCCTATCTCCTTAATTCCTCTCCATCTGCCCCAACTCGAACACATCTCCAACTCCTTCGATCACACCCATTAATTTGACTTCAAAGTTAAAATTAAGTGGTTGAAGGAGATCAGGAATGTGTTCGGGTCGGGAATTTTTCCACGAGGCAACTTTTGTTAGTTGATTGGATAGGAAAACCGTGAACATGTTGCATGCATTTATACTCTCCATCCTCTCCCGTCATTTCGCTTTTAACATGTTTTTTTTTTTCAAAAATGCAAATAGGCACTGATTAATAAATTATAACCGCACAATCTTTTCCCTAAACCGTCTCAATACTGATAACCCCACAACCTTTTTCAAAAGAAAAAGATTGGAAAATGATAAACCGTCTCAAAAATCATAACCCCAACACAATCTTTTTCTCATCTTTTTCCACGGATTCCATTTTTGGGTAATGATCTATGCACTTCATATGATCAGAACCAGTTTGGTTTCATGCCTGGCAGATCGACTACAGAGGCCATTCATCTCATGAGGAGGTTAATGGAAGAGTATAGGGCTAGGAAGAAGGATCTCCATATAGTGTTTATTGACCTTGAGAAGGCGTATGATAGGGTGCCAAGGGAGGTCTTATGGAGGTGCCTTGAGGCGATCAAGGATATGTACGATAAGGCTATGACCAGAGTAAGGACTTCTGGGGGCGACTCAGATTCTTTTTCGGTAGGGATGGGGTTGCACCAGGGGTCTGCCCTTAGCCCTTTTTTGTTTGCCTTGGTGATGGATGTCCTAACTCAAGGTGTTCAAGAAGGGGTCCCATGGTGCATGCTTTTCGCGGATGACATTGTGCTTATCGACGACACGCGTGAGGGACTAAACGATAAGTTGGAACTATGGCGCCTTGCCCTTGAAACTAAAGGTTTCAGAATAAGTAGGAGCAAGACTGAGTACATGGAATGTCGTTTCAGCGGCCGGGATACAGAATCAGAGGTGGAAGTCAGGATTGACTCTCATCTAGTACCTAAGGTAGACATGTTTCGATATCTTGGCTCGGTAATCCAGGCTGATGGGGAGTTAGATGGGGATGTTGGACACCGTGTTGGAGTGGCTTGGGCCAAATGGCGGTTAGCTTCAGGGGTGTTGTGTGATCCGAAGATTTCGCCCAGAATGAAAGGTAAGTTCTATCGATCTGTAGTCAGACCTGCTATGTTATATGGGGCGGAGTGTTGGGCGGTTAAGAAGACTCATGTGCGTCGTTTGCATGCAGCGGAGATGCGGATGTTACGATGGATGTGTGGTAAGACAAGGTTGGATAAGATTACGAACGAAGTCATTCGACGTCAGGTAGGCATGGCACCGGTGGAAGATAAGTTGC